GGAATTTCCGGAGGATGAGGCCCAGAAATCAGGATTTTAAAGAGATTCCCAGGTGATTCTAATGTGCAGCCAAGGTTGAGAGCCACTGATTTGGAGAATGGGAGTAATGTCATTGCTTTGCTGGGCGGAAGGTGGTTGGTTGGTCAAATATTCTGAGGCTTAGAAGACACTTTGAAGGAGGTCGGGGTGGAGTGAGACTCCGCCATGCCTGCGGTGCAAAAGGAGCATGAAATGTCATAGTTTGTGTTCTTTCCAAATCAAAGTGACCCGGTCCAGAATGGCCTCCTTGGCTCCGGGCCAAGCGAGCAGGCCACCCTGGCCCAGCCATGAGAGGTGAAAGGGCAGGGGCCGAATCCACAGTGAAGGGTCCTTAACGCCTTCCCTCCAGATGAAATCCATGATGGGATGAACCTGGAGCTTTATTACCAATAAAGCCGAACTCCTTCCTTGTGCCCGGTCCCCCCGCCCCTCTCCTCCCGCTCTCAGCCCCAGCCCTGGTATGGATGCTTGTTTTTAAAAAGTCATGTTAATAAAAACGTAGAACAGCTTCACTGTCGTCATGTTTGACTGAGGCCTGTCTGATGAGGGAAGGTTGGTATCTGGTGGTCACTGTACTCTCAGTGCCCAGCTGCCCATTCAGAGTTCAAGACTGACTGGGTCGGTGAGGGAAGAGCAAGCCAGGAGACTGGGAGCCGGTGTGGGTTTCTGGAGGGCAAGAGGTCTGAGATGATTGTCACCCTAAGAGGTCCAGGGCCCTCTGGGTAGGGACAGTGATGTAGTTAGGAATACAGGTTCTGGATTGAGACAGACTATGGGTGGAATCCCAGCTCTTGTGTCAACAATGACCCTGGGCAAGTTCCTTGACCTCCCTAAGCCTGCATTTCCTTTTCCAAACTGGAACTGATAGTTCATGGTCGTGTTGCAAAGTGTAGCTGGGAGAAAATGAGGTTAAGCATCTACAGTTCTTGGCACTTATGAAATCCTAGTGGACAGAGCAAAACAGCGTGGCATGGGCTGAATTTTGACTGATGATTAGTAGTGGGGTTTGGGGTCGTCAGCTTCCTTTGATCTTCAGTTTCCTCTTCTAAAATGGGGTACCATGATGACACCCACATCTCAATGAGAAATGCAGTTAGAGCAGCAGGATGTCTGTTCCATGGTGTTACCAGCTGGCTCCAGTCTTCTCCCAGGTGTGAGTAGACAGGACACCAAACACCCCACCTCTGTTCCCTTAGCCACAGATCCTGGGGCCGACCTTGTCCCTGTCCTTTCCCAGAGCCATATTCTGGACCTTTCTCAAGAGCTTCATCCAGAACCTTGCTCTGTTCTTTCTCCTGCATGCCCCACACTGTATTGACCTGCCCTATCCTACTCAGTAGCTCAACACAGTCAGCTCTAGCCCACTGCTCCCCCCGACATTCCCCCCTCCCCCCAGGCTCCTGCCAGCCTCTGCCTTCCCTTCACCTCCAAGCTTCTGGGGAGATGACCTGCCAGCTGCTTGGGAGGCTGCTGACCTGGAGTCTGTTGAGAATGGTTTCTCTTTGGTCTCTCTACCTGCCTCTTGGCTTCCCTTCTATCCCTAAGACATGTCTGTTTCCCACTACCCTTAAAACTCAGTATCCCCCTTTGACCTGTTAAAAAAATTTTTTTTTTAAACTACAGGACAGCCTTTTATTAACCAACTAGAGGCCCGATGCATGAAATTTGTGCAAGAGTAGGCCTTCCTTCCCCCGCCTGCCAGCACCGGCTTCCCTCTGGCATCTTCATCCAGAAGGTTGTCCAGAAGGACGTCTGGTCTAATTAGCATATTACGCTTTTATTATTATAGACTAGAGGCCCGATGCACGAAATTCGTGCAAGAGTAGGCCTTCCTTCCCCTGGCTGCCAGAACCAGCTTCCCTTGCAGAGGGAGGCCCCGCCCACCCACCACAGCCTGCCTGTTGGTGGCCTGGGCCTCCCTCTGCGGGGTGATCATGGGGTGATGGCCGGCCCCCGACCAATTGCATCACACCCGCCTTGGCTGGCCTGGTGCCAGTGGGTGTCATAGCAGGTCCCAGATGGTCGTTCCGCTGTTCGGCTGTTTGGTCGATTTGCATATTATGCTTTTATTATATAGGATAGATGTCACCCCAATAAATTTCATTAAAAATATATAAAAAGAAATTAAATATAAGACCTGAAGTAAAGCAAAATAAATAAACTACACGACAGCCTTGATGAGGTGATTCCTTATAATTTCAAATTGGCATAGAAAATATGTGCTAAAAGTAAAACCCTTTTCCTCACCCTTCTCTCTCCTGAGGTCAGAACTTTTTCAGCGCATTTGTATAAATTTCAGTTTTACTTTTAAAAGATAACTATGCTAATAACTGCTTGTAAAAAACATTCAAATGTTTTGTCAAACATTGTTTCAACCCTAGCTGGTTGCCCAGTGGTTAGAGTGTTGGCTTGAGGACTAAAGGGTCCCAGGTTGGATTTGGTCAAGGGCATCTGCCTCGTTGCAGACCCATCCCCGGCCCAGTCAGGGCAAGTGTGGGAGGCAACCAGTCAATATCTCTCTCTCACATCGATGTTTCTCTCTCTGTCTCTTCCCCCTCCCTTCAACTCTCTATAAAAATCAATGGAAAAAAATACTCAGGTGAGGAGTAACAACAACAAAAATTGTTTCATATTAACATCCCCCCCTTTCACCACTGGCAGTTATTAACATATTTGAGTAAATCCAGACATTTCCTGAAATACAACCTATAGTTTTTATAAAATTGGGATAATTATACATTCTATAATATTCACATACTATGCATCAGTTTGTTTTTATGCTTTTGATATCCTTCCATGTAAATTATGTCTCATTCTTTTTCATTGGTATTTTTATTGATTATTTTTTTACATAAAAGGGCAGTATGGAGGGATTCTTGTGATGATGGAACTGTGGTGGTGGATGCAGGGCTCTATTTGTCAGAAACGATGTAGGAAGAATGGAATGCAGGCCATCTAATGAATCTGCTTGTATTACAAATGAATCACATGACCACACTGAAGAAGATGGGGAAGATAGTTTATTGGAGTAAATCTGAATGATCCTACCCCTTTGGAGCAAACTTAGTGCTTATTGGTTTCCAATCATATTTAGCTTGTGGTTGGAATTTGAAAAAATGAAAACCTAAATAAAATAGGTGAAGTTCCCTGACTATTCAGGTGAATACACACACACACACACACACACACACACACACACACACACAAAAGGTGGGAAAGACAGCTGACCTAAGTTTGGGAAAAGTATTTGCTAGGATGCGAGAAGGCTAAAGACAAAAAGAAGTGTAGAAAAACACTGCACTCTAGTTGGTAAATATGTTTCTCACAGGGACATGATTTAACAATTCTGAAACTTTTATACGTACATCTGTATCCACACACAGAGTTGAACAAATGGGTAAATATATTATAGGTAGTGAGATCCAGGTTTCTCACTGCTGGAGAAGTTACAAATAGCCCAGCCAGCGTGGCTCAGTGGTTGAGTGTCGACCTATGAACAAGGAGGTCATGGTTCGATTCCGGGTCAGGGGATCTGCCTGGGTTGTGGACTAGATCCCCAGTGTGGGGCGTGCAGGAGACAGCCGATTGATGACTCTCTCATCATTGATGTTTTTATCTCTCCCTCATCCTTTCTCTCTGATATCAATAAAAATATGTTGTTTTTAAAGTTACAAATAAAATGAGGCAGGAAGGGTGGAAGGGTGTTGTTAGAATGAACCTGTGGGACTGGATTAGAGTTAAACCACCCGTGTGGACTCATGGTTTTTATTTACTATGTATATAGACATGCAGATATGTGTGCATACATATATTTTCTTTGCTTTTTCCACTTAGAGGGACCAGAAACAGTGACACCCCAGGTGCAATGAGCATGTCCAGCATGCAGATCTTTGTTTCTAAATAACATTCTCCAATGAAAGGAACTAGAGCTTCTTGGAGAAGTGATTGGTTCTAGAGCTAGGGCAGGGAAAATACCAGCTGGGCATGGAGCATCTAGTGGTGTCAGGAGGTAAGAAGTGCCAGAATAAAAAGGATGGAAGCATGTTGAAAGGGCACAACTCAAAGTATCCCTTGAAAGTATTATTACAATAGTAAGTTCGGAAATTGCCTTAACCAAGTGATCAACGTTAATATTGCAAGTGTGGTAGGCAGCCTCTAAAATGGCCCCTAATGATCCCCTCGTCTTTGTGTATTCACATCCTTGTGTAGTCCCTTCCTCTTGAGTACAGGCTAGACCTAGCTTCTAACAAGTAGAGCATGGCAAAAGTGGTGGGATATCACTTCTGAGATGAGGTTGCAAAGAAACTGGCTTCTGCCTTGCTTGCTCACTTGTTCACTGATGAAAGCCAGCTTCTATGTTGTGAGCTGCCTTATGGAGAGACCCCCAACAAAGAACTGCAGTCCTCAGACAAACATCCTGTTAGTACTTGAATCCTGAGAGCAGCCACCTGAGAGAGCTTGGAAGTAGATCCTGCCCCAGTCAAGCCTTCAAATTAGACCACAGCCACCCCTGCTGACACCAGCTAAACTGTGCTCGGATTCCTGACCCATACAAGCTGTGAGAAAATGTGTTAATTCACTAAGTTGTGAGATAAGTGTTATTGCAACAATAGATACCTTAATACAAACAGGAATACATTGCATACCAGGTATGATGCACTGGGGTTATATCGTCTCTGTGGTATCCTTTCCAAAAATGTATAACCTCAGTCTATTCTTGAGAAAATATCCAACAAACCCTCTCATGATAAAACATCAGAATGGGCCGAAACCGGTTTGGCTCAGTGGATAGAGCGTCGGCCTGCGGACTGAAAGGTCCCAGGTTCGATTCTGGTCAAGGGCATGTACCTGGGTTGCGGGCACATCCCCAGTGGGAGATGTGCAGGAGGCAGCTGATCGGTGTTTCTCTCTCATCGATGTTTCTAACTCTCTATCTCTCTCCCTTCCTCTGTAAAAAATCAATAAAATATATTTTTTAAAAAAAAACATCAGAATGGGCATTTTGCTATTCAAAAGTATCAGGATCATGCAATACAAGGAAGACCTAAAAATTGTCACATGTTGGAAGAGACTATGGAGATGTGACTATGTGGATTCAAGTCTAGTCTTAAAAGTATTGTACTGCCCTAGCTGGTTTGGCTCAGTGGATAGAGCGTCAACCTGTGGACTGAAGGGTACTGGGTTCGATTCCAGTGAAAGGCACAAGCCTGGGTTGCAGGCTCGATCCCCAGGGTGAGACGTGCAGGAGGAAGCCGATCAATGATTCTTTCTCATCATTGATGTTTCTATCTTTCTGTCTCCCTTCCTCTCTGAAATCAATACAAAAAAAATTTTTTTAAAGAGTATCGTACCAATGTTGATTTTTTTAAATGTATCTTTATTGTTGAGAGTATTACAGATGTCCTCTTTATTCCCCCATTAACCCCCTCTACACTGCTGCCACCCCCATGTTGATTTCTTAATTTTGATAATTACTCTATGACAGGGTTTCTTAGCTTTGGCACTGGTG